CTTATTTTGAATCTGTTAAAGCATAATAAAATATATGTTTTTTTCTTATTTTTGCTGTTTAAGCATTATAAAATATATGTTTTTTTCTTATTTTTTGTATACATTTTTTCATATTAAGTTTATGGTTTTTACTTAAAGAAAAAACGTATACATTATACTAAAATTTCATAAAAATTATATATTATAAAACTTAATATTTTTATGAAATTTTTATATCAAATTTTTTATTGGGTAATATCATATATTCTTAGGTGAGATATTGAGAATACAGATCATTAACATATCAGGTCACTATATATAACATATCATACAGATATTAGGTCTATGATATCTGACTAATATGTTATCATTCAATCAGTGATATTATTTATTTTATTTAAAAATTATTATTTGTAATATTAGTTATGTATAATATTAATGATTATTAATATAGATTAATAATAAAGCATTAATTGTATGCTTTTTAAGTATTATATCATGTTTATACAATTTTTTTCTTGAAGATAAATGTTGTTCAACAATAACCTTTTTTACATATCATAATCATAATTAAATATATATATTTGGCTAAACTGATAATTCTGTATTGATTTGAGTTATATCTTTATCAGTAATAAATATATTTATATTATTAATGCTATGTTCTTTAAGTATCATATACTATCTTATTTAAATTTTTGTTATTGGTTGATTTTTGTCAGCTAAAACTAAAAGATATAATAAAGAAAATGATATTCTATCAATTATTTCTATAATCCTATAAGTTTGTATTTTATACTATTTATATTATATGTTATATCTATAATAATAGTTTTTAGATATAATATAGAAGTTAAGAAAAAAATAGCATAATAAAAGTAAATAATTCTATAGGTTCATTTATTTAAAAAATTATAGGATAATTTTTCTCTTAAATAAGTAATTTAGTGAAAATTATTTTATTATTATCTTTCTTATATTCTAATATAGCTTCATAAGTCTATTAGTAGTATACTTGTATTTTAGTAAGTATTTTAAATCCAGTAACTGCTATTCTTTAATTTTATAAAATATTCTGATACATTTGTTTTTATATTAGCATGAAAATACTTTTTATAATATCTGTAACTTTAATGTAATCTGATGAACATGTAAAATGTGATTTAATTTAAAAAAATATAAGATTATTTTAATAATTAATTTTTATCAATATACAAATATTATATAAATGTTACTAAATTCTTAAATTTATATTATATTGTTTAGCTAGGACTTGATGTCAGTTGAACATTTATTTAATTTTATATGCATATTATATTAATAATAAAATAAAATAGCTTTTAATTAAATTTATTTAGAATAATATATCCATTTCCTTATAAAGCTAAAAAAATGATTTTCTTAGCAATTTCTTTACTTCATTTTTATCAGTTAGTATAACTGATAACTCTTCAATCAAAGATTTCAGATTTTAAAATTTCTTTAATAATAAGTTAAATACTTTTATTTACTAAAAATTCACTTGTTTCATTCTTTTCATTTATTTCTAATAAATATTTATAAATAATATTAGAAAGTTAACTAGGCAAGCTAGCATTTTCTTTATTATTATTGATAAGAGTTTCTTAATAATTTTCTTCACATTTTTTTTCTTTTTTTGTGTTTGAGTTTTTACTTCTATATCTACTATAAGTAACTCTTATAATGTTTTTACTGTTCAAAAATTTATTTATATTTTTTTGATAATATTCTAAATAAACCTTTAAGTTAGACATATTGTTTGATAAAACTTGGAAAGAATTTATTAATTTATGTGTTCATTTTACAAAAAGTATTAATTCAAAACATAATTGATATAAAAAAGAAAATATAAAAAATAATCATGTGCTAATGATATATTTATTGAATAATACTAGACTTGTAAATAATATAGTCTAAAAATTTACTAAGTTTGAATAATATAAATTATTCCTTTTATAGTATAAAAATACTGATCAGATTATTTTCAAATATTTCAGTATTTTATATTTTGTATTTTAAGTAATAATATGTAATATAATTTATATACAGTATATGCTATATATATTATTTTTATTTTTTTATTTTTAAAATATATATAATGGGTTAGAAAGTTAATAAATATTTAATCATCAGAATTAAATTATCTATAATGCAGATTCATAAGTAGGATTAATTATACGAATATATAATCCTTATTTTTGCTGATTTATTTCTATTTTTTTTGATTATAAAATTCATTATTAAATTGAATAAATGCTTTATCTCTTGCAATATATTTAGCAGCTTATTTTGTTTTTTTAATTTTAATCTAGTATATTTTTTTTGGTATTTTTACTAAGCTATTTAAGAAGAATTTCTATTTTTGACAATATTTTAGCTTTGGCTATATTTTCTTTAGGCATTTTTCATAAACTACCACATCAACTATATATTATTGAATGTTTAACAATTTTAAACATATTAGAATTATCATTTTTATTAGTTTTTTAGCACATATAATAATATCATAATCATCAATTGTCTATGGCTTATAATCTTAAGCAAGAATAATGAGAATATGAATATGTGGAAGTTCACATTTCTAAAACTCTATAGTGTAAAGGTAAGCTACAATATTTTTCAAAAATCCCTTCTTTTAGAATATCTTTAAGTATTGATTTTAACTTCATATTGAAAACCATGCAGTTAAAACAGATCGATCTTATGCTAATTGACCTAAAAGAAATGCATCAGTTATCTTAAGCCAATTTGAATTACATATTAATGTTATAAATAGAATAGGTTTGCTAAATGTTCGTACAATAGCCATTCCATTCTGATAAAGTTTTATTATTTAACGAGGTTCACCTGTAAAGTTTGATAGCAAAATTATGTTTTAAATTTAATATGTTTGCCATATAATCTTCTGTTAGTATTGCATTCTCAAGCTCACTATATAAATCTACGCATAACTTTTTTTAATTAAACTTTAGATATTTGAGACGCATTTGTTTCATAATTGCATATATATCAACAATTTATTGCTAAAAAAGACGTCTAAATTGATGCAAATTTACTAGTTATCTAGGACTGCAGATTTGAAGCTAATATGCAAAATAATTTATTGCAGTAACATATTTTGATTCATTTGTTTCATCTTCATCATTAAATATTTCATCAACATTCTGATGTTTAGTAGATAAATTATTATGTAATAGGATATAATATAAGGATGCCTTTCATCTTTACTCTAGAAAATATGAGTACATAATGTAATGATGCATAAGTACAATGTATTTCTGGTACTCAGTTCAGCTCTCCTTTACGCAGATACAACACAATATCATGTTCTGTTTGTTCAATTTTCTGTCCATCTCTAACCATAATGACTGCAAATTCTGCTGCCCTTAGAGTATTATAACATCGGGGATCTGTTGTTCTGCAATCTGTAATTACCATCTTCATATCTAATAATTGATTTGATCTCAACATATTACTTGCTTGACGAAAATGTTTTAACATATGGATTAACATCATTCAACATTTGCTGAAAGTTCGATAAGAAAATTAGAATTAAGATTGGGTAATTATATTCATTCTGATTTGCAGCTCATTATCATTATCATATATGTATGTATATTTGAGCAAATTGTGAAGGTCTTCATTTTTAGGGAGTAAAGTGCCTATACTATGATAAATTTCTCCATGAATGTGAAAATTATAGACATCTCTAGTTCCTATTATAGTTTCATCAATTTTTGCGCCTAATGAAGTAAATGATAATGCGGAATTATACATTCTAATATTTTGTCAAAATAAACGTGAATGATGATCTACTGCAATAAGAAGTCTATTCAAAGGAGGTAGTAGTTCATGCAAAGGGGGAAGAAGAATCTTGCCTTTTGCGCAGCAAGTAGAGAAAACTGGCGATTTTTCAGATACATTTTACTCTTTAATATAACCACATAATAGCCCACAGTTGCAACATTCATATTACCTAGTGTGTGACGTTATAATCCATGAGAAATCCATGGATAGACACGTGCCCTTGGAGTAATTGATGATTCATCAATTTCAGCATTTTCTCTCCTTTTCTTTGGGTTTGGTGGTATATTTTCTTTTCCATTTTGTCTCTCAGTTGACGACAACGTTGCTGACGTTCATTTTCTGATGCTCTTTAAGAGAATCACTGTTCATATTTTTATATAAGAAGGAGCAAATCTTAAATTTATCTTATGTATAAGGTGAAAAAGATAAGACGCGTAATGCTATTAAATATGCCAAGGATTAAATATGTTAAAGATAAAACGATAATATACTTTATTGATTGTCTGGAGTGAAATGAGGGACTTTATGCGTAATCAAATTCAATTTTTATATATTAAACTTAAACTTTAGACTCCAGCTTTTTATTTATTGCGTATTGTTAATGTTTAATACAGTAATAGTAATAATGTTATACGATTGAAATTGAAAATTATTTATACAGGGTATTGTAAACGTTACAGTGCAAACATCAACGATTTTAAATATAAGATAATGCACATTTCGTTCTTTCATTACATTCCTTTTTTAGTAATTATAATGTAGTACTAAAAGAAAACCCACATCGTTATAAAGGGGCTAGAATAGGATAAGGTTCTCACAATGAATCAAAAAAAAATGTTTTGTCAGAAAATCGGAAATCATTTTCACAAAATATTTATAACACATTGTTGCATAACAACTTACTGTAACATCTTTCGAAATAAAATTTCTTTTTTTTTTTAACATAAAAGACACATTATAACCATTTAGCTGGTATTCGTTTATGGCGAAGTTTTAAAGTTAGCTCTCGTGTCAATGTTATTTACTAAATCTGGTAGAATAATTAAAAAAAATATCTCGTTTTAAAGCCACATTTATGTGTAAAATAAAAAAAAATGTTACTAGTCTATTAAAAGAATTACATTATAAAAATTCTTATCAAGTATCAAAGAAGCTAGACTTCGAGTGAAAGAAATCGGGGCAAAAACTTAATAATGGATAATAATAAAAGGGTAAATAAAAGCTTAAATTATGTAAAAAAAAAAAAAAAAAAAAAAGTTGATGAAACCACTAACAATATCGCAGAGTATGTTGTAGAAGAACTCAAAGCATTATGTTGTAAAGAAAAATTTCGTAAAGAAACCGAATTTAATAGGGGCATTTCGTTTTCAATACTAAAAGAGCAAAGAACGGTCATCGAAAGTCATCGAGCATCCAAACTAGGAAAGCATATCAAAATTATGCAACAGAAAAGGAACCCTAATCATTTGGTGAATTTGACATCGTTGTTAGTTTGGAATATATGCAAAAAAAAAAATTTTAAATTTTAGACAACTAATTACTTTGATAAAGGCATAGATCGATAATGAAAAATATTTTATTCAATCAGATAAAAATTCAGTTATGATATTTTAACAAGATAAATTTATTCCGGACTTGTAAATCGTCCGTAAACCTTATGATTTAGAGGATGGTACTTTCCACATTTCATATAAGTCGTACAAAGCACAGTTCAGTCTTTAATCTTTGGGAGGAGTACCATGAGACGGTCAATTAAGATAAAATGATAACTTTATTTTGGTCGCTTTGTTGATATTACGTTGAAACATTGTAAAAAAAAAGTGATTGTTGATAAAGAGAGGTGAGAAAATGATGATATTAAACTTCAGCTTGATGTCATTATATTTATTTATAACATTAATAAAATTTGAAAATATCTAGAACCTCATTTGATAATGCTACATGGGATTCAAGAGAATTTTGATAAAATTGAATCCTATATACAGTCAAAGCTCGTTATAGTGAACTCTCGGTTCCAGTCACTTTTGTTCACAATAATGAGATTTGATTTAAAAGTTTCACCATATCTAGCGAAATTTATTATAGAAAAATAAATCGGACAAATAAATTTTATTCATTATAACGGTAAATGTACTTAATATAAAGGCTATTATGACATACAAAATAATTATATGAGATTTTCTCTTTACCGTAATAAAAAAAAGAAATACAGTATAAGAAAAAGAAAATAATAAAATAAAAGAATATCGACAAATAAAATAATAATAACTTTCGCGTACAACAAGATATTTTACTATTATAATTGCTATTTAATTTCAACGAAAGTTTTGTTGTTGAAATTGCGTTTGAGGTGTTATCCAATGGGTTTCAACGCGGGCGTTCATATACCGGTATGTATTAGACAATTTTTTTTTAAAAACAATCCGTCGTTCATTTTAAACGTCTACCAAATTTCATATTATAAATTATATATAATATTTTTTTTTTTTGAATTAATTATTGCTGTTATAATCTGATCCTAGAAAGTATAAAAAATAAAATAACTGCTGATCAGTTAGGGTTTAATCAAATTGATGGTATCATAAATTTTTAACGACCAATTAGGTTCGGACGCGATGATGATCAAAAAAAAAAAAAAATGGTTTTTGGCGCGAAAATAAAAAGTAATACGCAATTTAATATTTTCTGTTTTATATAATATTATTCTTAAAATAAAAATTTTTTTAAAGAAAAAATAAGTAAAGAAAAAATCCATTAACACTTGACTCATTCCAACTCGTGATTTTTTTTGCTAAAATAAGTTTTTAATGACTACAGGAGAAGAGACCAAGGTGATACTCCATTACGAGATAAAATATTAAAGACTATCGCGTATGATAGGTAAAAAAAAAAAAACCACGAAATTTATTTCGCTTTTAAAATATATATATATATTCTACAAGAAAGCTTTGAAAAGTTTTTTTGTGTACATAGATATTTTTTTTTCTTTATTATAAAATAATTTAGGTTAAATGCGATGACGGTTATAATGTGTTTCGGTTAAAACTTTTGCCAAAAATCAGAACTCACATTCGGCAACTTGCATAATGCAAATCGAACTCGAAGGATAATCTCATCTAAACTGGATGCGACAACAACTTGAATGATCCACACACATAGTAGAATACTCAAACTTAAAATCATGTCCGATCAAGTACTAGAACCCGCATACACAAACAAATCGATTATTCTTTCATTGATTAACTTATGAATATCATGACGTTACAATAACAATAAAAAATAACATAGGTTAAGATCTGGAGGTTGAGAAGGCAATAATTTACGGTATTTTTTTAATGTCGAATGACGCATTTAAAAAACCCCAGGTTACGCAAAATGATTGTTTTAATAATACATTTCGTCTTCCATATTTATTGTAATAAAATTTATTTACATGTTACAAGTAGTACTAAGAAGCTTGAATGATACTACCTTTCAAAATTAACCATATCATTACTTTGTAATCTTATTTATCTATCTATAAGAACATTAAAAGAAGGTTTATCATAAAATTTACCACGTAAAAAAAATATTACATATAATAAAGTAAATTGAAATCAATTAAAGTTCTGTAATTCCTCCACACCTTCCTTTTTACTTTCTAGAATAAAGTTTTGTTAATTTTTATAATTACCCATTTATATTTTCTATAAAAATAAGACAAACTATTTAGAATATATATAATATCGACCTTCATATGTTCATCTTATCAAAATTTTGTATAAGTTGAGATAATTCACCATGTGATGAAGAAATTTTATCAAGTTGTTGTTTCGATAATTGGACATTTAAATTATAATCGCCAGTTTGCTCATTTGCCGCAAGGTTAGTGTTTGTAGTAATAGATTTTAATTTACCAACTGCTTCAACTACTTTACTCATATCTGGACGATTATCTGGTTCATTATCCCAACACTCTAAAAATATATTGAATGGTCAAAAAAATATTTTTCTAATTATAATTGAATTTAATAAATATATTTACCAGTATAAATTTTTACATAATCTTCGGGAGTATCAGGAATAATTCCTTCTCTGCGACCTTTCGATATACTATTAATTAGGTCAAAATCATATTTTTCAATATAAAAAGGAGCATATCCACTTGATATCTCCCATAAAAGCACACCAACACCGTAGACATCACTTTTTTCGTTTAGTTTATATGATTGAAATGAGATAAACTTTTTTGGGTCAATATAAGGAATCATACCAAAATCATTTTCTGATTCAGTTTCTTCGATTCTTTTTGATAACCCAAAATCCGCCAGTTTTATACTATTCCGGTGAACTAATATATTGTTGGAGTGCTATTTATTTATAGAATAAAATGTAAATATTTTAGTAATTTTTTTTAATAAAAGCACATAAAATTATTTACCAAATCACGATGCACAATTCCTTCACTATGTAAGCATGATACAGCACTAGCCAATTGAAATGCCAAATCATATTTATCATTCCAGGTAAGATCATTAAAGGTTTTCTTCAAATGGTTTCGAAGAGTACCTCCATCAGCATATTCCATTACTAACCAATATTTTTGATTTTGATTTTCTAATTAAAAAATAAAACCTTTAGTTACACTTTAAATTTTAAAGTTTCAATAGTAATAATTATTATACCTAAATCGGAAGTTATGCCATAAAAGCGAATAATATTATCATGAAAATCAACTTCTCGTTGAAGTTTAATCTAAAAATGAATCAGATTATAAATATTAAACAAAATAAAAAAATTGCGTTTAAATGATCACGTGTTTCAATGTATTTGACGTCTGAAATCTTTGTTGAGCCGCAGCTCATATATAAATGTGAAATGCGGTTAAGGCATACTTTCAACCAAAACCTCATTTAGTTTTAAGTAAACTTGCAGAGCGAGCAAAACTACACTCATTCATAAATTTTAAAAGTTCAAGTGAAGTTTAATAAAGCATAATTTCGAAAAGAAAATTTTTTCGTAATAAATTGTATGGCGAATCATATCCGGGATAACCTGTCACATTACATTAAAATCAAGTAAAGTGTTTACCTCGTGAACGATTTCTTCAACTGTGACAATATTGGAGTTAAAAGATTTCAATGCAAAATCTTTATGTAAACTTTTCCAATTTGCACGATAGACTTCTCCAAAACCTCCGCATCCAACCTTTCGAAAATTACAAAAAGAATTATAGTCGTAATGCTTAATATGACTTTTAAAAATAGCCTTTTCAATCCAGCCATTTAAATGATCAGGTGTCTGTAACAGATTATGCGAAGGAGATTCAATAACTTTTTGTTTAATAGATTCTTCAATAAATTGTATATCTTTAAATAAATCGCTTAAAGCTGTTTCAATGGTCGTAATATCATGACGATCTTCTGGTCTGAATTGCCACATTCTGTCTACTAAAAGCTCCAACTGTTCAGGCATTTCAGGCAATTTTTCTTTATGATTTAGTAAATGGTTGGAAAGTTCCTTAATTGGAATGTCTTTAAATGGCAGATTTTCTGCTTTACACCAAAAAATTTCCCAAAATAACAATCCTAAACTATATATGTCAGATGGCGGAAGTGGTTCAAAGTTTTCTATGCTTAGTCTCCCTGGATCATGCCAACGTTTCCAAATCATTTCATTATGTGGAATTTTTCTTTTTGGATACGTCGAAGTTTTAGTAGCACGTAAGCTTTTACTCCAAAGAAAATTAGATATCCTTGGCATAAGAAAGTTTTCTGTCTCGTCGTACTGCAGTAATATATTTGCACTTCTAAGATCTAAATGTAAAATCCCTTTCTGTAAAAGTTATAATTTTATTAAAACATAATACTTTTTATTAAATTAAAAGAAAAAAAAGTGAAAATCCTTACATTATGTAAATATTTAACACCTTGCGATATCTCCCATGCTAGTTTAATTTTTCTTTTCAAATCCTTAGCAAGATTCCCTAAAGAAAAATCATTTATTTGGAAATATGTGAAAAGATCACCATAATTCGCATATTCATAAAATAATATGGGTTTACAATTTTGAATTGAATACCCATAAAATTTAATGATATAATCATGATCATTTAATTGATATTCGTTATAAAAGTAAATCTCTTTCTCAACATACGAAGAATTTTCGAGATATCGATACTTTAACGATTTTCCACTAGCAATTGTACTATTATCTAAAAGTCGTTTTGTTGAATCAAATATTTCTTCGGTTTCTGTTAATGAAGATTCTAATGTTTCGATATATGCTCGAAGATACCATCGAGATAAATCTTGATTACGAATTATGGTTGAATTATCAATATTTATGTTAAGTTCTGGTTCATTGTTGAAATTATCTAGTTCAGTTTGAATCGCGATATTTTCATCCAAAGCAACTATTAATTTGCCTAAATGATTATTGAATGATTTTCCAGCCATCAAGATGCTAATAAAAAATTTTTAAACAAATAGTAAACAAAATGGATAATCTCCACATTAAATATATATATTTGAATACTCACAGCTCAAGTTTCTCGCTGAACAAAGATGAATTTTCCTTTGTAACTGAATTAAAATCATCGACTACATAGAAATAACAAAAAAATAATAAAATTAGAAAGTATATATAAAGAGAATTAATTATGATATATAAGAAATAGCTCACCAATGCAACTTAAATAATGAATATATGCATGTACTTGATTTTTTACAATACCAATAAACTGAGCTTTCTGAGTAATATCACACCAATTTAAACATAAATATCTAAACCTATTCTTATGTTCATATAATTTTCGTGCAATTTTCTTAATCTCATCATTTATAACAAGTATTCCTCCAGATGCAACTGCGTTATTTATTACTTCGCAAAGTATTTTATATAAATGTTCCAATTCAAAAAATGGAACTAATGGATCTGTTAAAATTTTCACATAATCACAATTTCGGAATGATGGTTCAGTTTTTTCATTAGATCTAATATCATTTATATGCTTCTCACATAGCCATAAAATCTCTTGAGTTTCTTCATCAACACTTTGTTTCAATCCGCCAAAAATGATCTGCACTTTCTTTTGTATCAAGAAATCCTACCAAAGAATTTTTTAAGATGAAAATGTGTACATCATATAAAAAAAAAGTTGATATTTTACTTACCTTCGAGTTCCCGGAGACCTGAATTATTTATCATTTGATGAGGAATATCAACACTTTTATTCAAAGGAATAAAATCTGGATTTTCATCAACGATAGTTTCTATACCAATATTCACAGTATCAATAATTTCTTGAAAATGTTTCATCAAGTCGGAATTGTCAGATATGTTAAAGACTGACATTAGAACATTAGCAACACCGTATGGAAAGTCATTTATTGTCATAACACAGGCTAATGTTTGTAAACTAGCCAAAAAAAAATAAAATAAAATAATTAATATAATATTAAAAACGTTTTTAAATTTACATGGTAAATTACCAAAGATTTATCCAAGGTCCATATTTTTTAATGAACTGAGGAACTTTAAGAACTTTATAACCTTCTTGTTCCGGAATGTGCCATTTTTTCTTATTTTCACAGACAAAAACAAGGCGAAATGGACTTGTAATTAACCATGTCCTAAGAATAGATATAAATGTTAAAAGTGAATTTATTTAGTTGGCTTTCTTTATAAAAAAAAAAAAAAAAAAAATTATTTACGTTGGATTTTTCCAATATTTTCGATCAGGGATCATAATGAACACTTTAGGAACCTTTTCATTTATTAATTTGGCCAACTTTAAAAGAAAAATATAATTTAATAAAATATATTTTTCATCAATTCAAAAAAAAAAAATTTACCCATTGTGGAATTTTCTCTGTTAATTTGGATAAGTCCTCCGCAGAACTTTTACTATGGTTCATTATTTTTAACCTTTTTTTCACTTCGTCATGATACTTTTTAAGGAAAGCTTGAAATGATTCCTAAAAGTAAAAATTATCGTAAAAAAGCTTAAAAAATATTTAACCAAAAAATCAAAAGAACAACCTTTACCTGGGTTAATTTTTCTTGATATCGAATCTCTTCATTCCGAGTCTCATAACCAACCTGAGAGTAGTCATATTCAACGCTTTTACCTATGTTCACCAATTCTAAATATAAATAAAAAAATTTATTTAAATTCACCAATTGCTTATTGACAATTTTCCTTTTACAGTAGTGCTCCTGAATATATATTACGAGTTGAATTTTTGACATTACGCTTATCAAGCTCTGATTGCTTACCTGAGTCACATGTGTAGTATGTCGATTGCTTAAAAAAAAATTTTTTTTTTTATTATTTATATTAATAAAATTTAAAATGATGATTCGTAATTACCATAAATTCTTTCAACGTCATTCTATGTGAAATGCTTTTAACGAGCAATTTGCTTATAACTTGGCAAGCGACATAATCACTAATCGACAAGTTATCTTCTGAAATAATTTCATTTTTTGCTTCTTCATTCTCTCCATCCCAAAAATGGGTTCCTAGTTATATAAAATTTTACTATGTCGTCAATAAATTTGATAGACAAATTCAAGAACATACCCGTATCAATAAAGTATAAAGTTAGTCCAAAAGAGAACATGTCCATTGCAAAATTGGCTCGAATTTTAATTCCTTATCGTTCGCTCTCATAATTTCAGGAGCCGAATAATTTGTTATGATTTTTATATATTCTGAACTATCAGCAAAACACGCTGTGTCAAAATTAGCCAATTTCCACCTTTCAGTATAACCGTTCTTTTCTTGAAAGTGCATTATACTTTTTGGTGTTAACTTAGTATGTACTATTAAGAAAGTAGTCCAAGAAGTTTGTTAATTAAATTCATATAAATTTGCTACAACTTACAGAAACCTACCGATGTCATATTGTTGAAGTTCCGAGAGACCCGTTACTATATCCTAATAACCAACATTTGCTTTAATTCTTATAAATGCACCATAACAAGATTAGCAGTATTAATTACCTTTATTATGTCATCTTTCTCCTCGTGTCTTTGATTATAATCTTGATGGCTTAAAAATGTTTCTAGATCGTAAAGAGCACACTCGAGTACCATAATTGCTTGTGATGGATAATTATTTATCAATTGAATAATATTCTATATTAAACAAAATAAATAAATAAAATATTCATAAAATAGATTATAACCATAAGTAAATTTATATAATAATACAAACTTCTGTATTTTTTAATTCATCTAACATTCGCAATTCTCTGTCAAATGAATCTCTTGTTTTGTATTTGTATTCCTTTATCACATAATGAACTTTTGGTTTATTAACTTCATAAGCTTTGTAAACATTAGCGATTTTACCATAGCTACAACTCCTTACAATTTGGTATCGTTCTATATGGATAAAGTTAGAATAGATATTTTTATTAATTCGATTCTTTATTAATATTTATAATTACCTTCAAATTCGTGCGTTAAATCACATCTCGGATTAAATTTAGGAATTGTTGTATTATCTGGCTTCAGTTCATGCCCCATAAACTTCCATGAAACTTGTTTAACTTGCTCGCAGCCAAAATCTGCAATAACAGATTCTTGTTGATTGGGATTAATCACATATAATTGTACAGTTACAAATATAAACAATGAATCAAAAGAGTGATTGATAATATCCAAGTCAATCTGTTTACCAGACCTATTTAATAAGACCGCAATATTATAATAAATGTATTCATTTATCAAGAATAAAATAATTGTTTTAGTATAGATTCCGATTTCAACATACCAAGATTTCACGAACACTTGAATTATAGGCTCATAATTTGAGGGTGGATATTGGACAGAAGTTGCGATGATACATCCTGGCGATAACTCCTCTTCTACATTAATTCGACAGGAAGTTTTCCTACTTGAAATTTCAACCTTTAATTCTTCACAAAATATTTTGGTATCTCTAGTACAATTGCTGAAGTATCCAACAGCCTTTGGTTCGCCAATTAGTTGCCAAAAAACTTCTAAATCCCTGCGAATGTGTTATCGAACAAATACGAATCGTGCATTAATAATTATTTTGAACAATTAAATTAAATGATATTAAGTTACTTTTTTAAAAAAGTAAAAATTACCCTTCGATTTCTTCATTCAAAGTTTTATATTCTTCCATAATTATCGAGAACCCATAGATATCCGCCATCTGGAATTTTACGTTTAAATCTAATCTTTTGTTATTCGTAACAACAGATCCTATAAGGTGATTATCAAAATTGACTCTGTAGTAACGTGTTTTATGACTACTAAGTTTCGTAACCCCTGTCATTAGAATCTTTTGTTTATTTTCTAATATATTTTCGATTTGTCTCTTGTATTTATCATCAAGAATTTTATATAATGGAAATAGTACCGGTTGATTTGCTAAAGACCATAAACTTTGCTTCTTGGAAATATCATTTAACCAAGTTTCTATTTCATTTAGATTAACCGAATGGTCATGTGCAATAAGTTTGTTTGGAACATCCATGTTGAATTTTTCTAGTAGATTCACCAACATAGTTTTAACACAATCTTTCGACACGGTCCATTTTTGACAGAATTCCTTTTGAGTTACAAACTGATTTGTAGTACATAATCTTCCTCCCATCGTAATCTCCGTACAAACCATATGACCATATTCTGAAAAGACTTTGGTCAATGATTTGTATGGATTTATGTTCTTTAAAGCTTCATTGATTTCTTTAACGAATTGTTGAGATGGTTTGATTATTTGATTTTTCTGGAAGATTTCGTTAAAGATGGTAATAATAACTTCTTCTTGAAAGATATTACACTGCGTGACATTTGCGAACGTGGTGTTAAAAGGTGATATAAATGGAATTTCTTCCAAATTAATTATTTTGCTAGCGTAGTCAATATAATGTTTAGAATATAATAACTCTTTATGTATAATAGAATGTGAAATTTTTATTTTTGTTTGATTGCTTTGATTGCACGATTTAATGGATGGCGCAGATAAAAATTCTAAAACGGGCTTCTTTCCAGGTGCAAGTCCATAAGGAGTTATCACCATACCATGATTTAATTGATATTTTTTGATCCAGAATGGTAAATTCAAGTATATGTTATCCAATACCCAATTGTCGAAGGTAATTCCTTTGTGATGTTTCATGACTCCTGGAATCAAACGATTATTAAATTCGAGGGAGATATTATCGGCCGAAACAATACTTTCATATGCAATAACTGAAGCAGTTTCAAATTTGTATACTTTATTCAGATACTCTGCCTAAAAAAAATATAGTTTACGAATAATTTGTCACAACATTTAATTTAAATTCCGCAAAAAAAAAAATAAAATAAAATAAAATTTAATACCAGAGTTTTCATGTCAGCGATGGGATTTCCATTTAAATCTTCAATGTCCTTCAATTTAAATTGCAACATTGCTGACTTGAAACAATTACTGCTTTTCCAACATACTTCATTAATGGACCATGATAAATGTGCCTTCAACCGATCAAGTTCTAAAGGATTGTACATTGAACCGTTTTTAATGACCAAAGATCCTCCGACTAATATCTTTCCTGAAAGAAATTCTTGAAAATTTTCTTTGACTTCATCATCGTTAGAATTTGAAGGTTGCTTATCCGCAGGCAACTTGATACCAGCCAAAGGTTCTCCAAAATATGTAATTCTAAGTACTGGAAAAATAAGTTTGATATCGGTTTTTGCAAGTAGAGGTGTTTGGTCTTTGATTTGATCAAATTTATCATCATTAAATTTAAATGCCAATGAGTCCCACACAGAATTTAACGAAATATCTTGAGTTGGTTTATATATCAATATTTGAGTAAATTTTTCTATTGTCAGTTGACCTCCACCAACGCATGGTTGGGAAGGAATAAAGTCTCCATTCTTATAACGAAGACTATAATTCAGTCTTAGAAATTTCACCAATTCTTTTTCTGATTCGTTCATATGGATGTCAACAGGTAAAAAGTAAGATATTAATATTGAATGATTTTATGACTTTATGTAGCAAAGAAGTGTTACAAATAATAATCAGCCCAAACACAATATTAGGTTACACAAAATTGTCGGAAATTTCCTCCGGACGTAACGGTAAGACTAAATTTTAGCCTCATATTGTTTGGATAAGATCGATGACCTACGGTGTTTATCATTTAAAAAATTTCAGTCAAAATTTTCACAATAGTTTTTCCAAATGAGTGATAAAGTGCCAGATAATTTGAGAAAATATGTTTTCTTCAATTTTATCAACACAACCAAGGTTATAAGCGTTATAATTAATGATAAATTCCCATTAGCTCTCACATTCGATACTAGCTTTACACTCGAATTTTTTACACTCGAATGTTTTCGGAATCAATTTTCTAACCCTGATGAAGGGTTTTGTATTTATGATAATATGTCATTTATTGATCCTCATGGAAAAATCTTGCATGTTGATGAATCACGAATAGGTTTAAATAATATTTTGATAGAAGGAAGATTTCTTAAGATTGAAAAGCCTTTAGATTATCCAGATGCAAAATTTATTATTAATAAATTTTGTTTGGAATGTGGCCTGAAAATATCTAAATATGGACCAACCCGTTCACAAAAAAAGCATTTGTATTTAAAAAACCGAAAAACCTGATTGAAATCCATGAATTTTAATATGAAGAAAGTGTCGTAAAAACCTGTAAAAATTCTCATGAAAAATTATGTCTTAAGAATTTAATTGGTGGTGTCAAAGCAGCTTTACCATGGTCACCGCTTTCTGCTGGTCTTTCTATTGGCATTTCTGCATTACATGATCGTAAAAATCAGACATACCATGAAAAATCTTCCACCGTTTGTGATGAAAATTGTGTGAAATTGATAGGAATTATCGATAAGAAAGAAATTATGCCAATAAAAGAATTCCAAGAGTCTGTAAAGGAAGCATTAAAAAGAGAAAATCCTTTATTAGAACTTAAGAAATTAACAGAACAATATGGAGAATATATAATCCTTGAAATGAAAATAGGAGGAAAGGGACAAAAAATCACCAATAACGAATTAACAGATAATGCACAGCAGAAATCTAACACATCATCTGTTAGCATGCAACTAGATAATAAGTTTGGTGAAATTAACATTGAACCCTTATATGGTCAAGAAATAAATAAAACAAGTTATTTACATACAATATTAACTTCTTGTACAGCAATTGGTGAAGATAAAATTAAATATGAAAGAGGTGACGTGCAAGAATGGAAAGATTCTTTAGTAGATTTTACAAAGTGGGAGATTATTGAACATGTTGTGATTGAACCAATTTTTAATATTTTAGATGAAGATTTACGCAAAAAAGTTATTAAGATTATCGTGGAACAGAAAATTTTATATAGGAATAAGAAATCTATTGATATTGAGTATTCTTTCAATTCAGGTCCATATAAGCATGAATTAATTATACCATCTGTTTTACAATCTAATCTTAAGAATAGTCAGATATTTGCATCTGTTAGTGAACAAAACCAAGTGTTTTCTGTTTGAGTAATCTACATTTCTGATAGCTCAGCTTCACTCCTACTTCATAGAATTAGTAATAAGAGAAATAAAAAAAGGGATGAGACTAGACGTTACAGTTTAAAAATAGATTGGATAATTATTGGTTATCCAAATGATTTCAAAATGGATGAATTTAAAGTAATATCTAGCAAGAATACCGTTAATAACTCAATTGAAATTTATGATCAATTTCAAAAACAAGAGTTATGTCTTTTGGCAACTTGCGCACATAATGCACCTAACGAGTCTAGCATTATTCTATTTAAATCAAATATTGTTGCTAGTGTTCATTTTTGTTGTGATAACTCAAAATTAAAGGCATTCAGATTTACTTATGATCTTGAATCGCTGCAATTTGACGAGAAATCTTTGTCAAATCTTTTCATTAATTACAGGTAATTAATATTTTCAAAATATTTCTGTTATATGTCAAGTTCACATGCTCACAATTATTTAAATGTATTTTATACATTAGTTTGATTGAAATCCCTTCAGCTTATTTCACACTACGCGAAAAATTTTCACTAGAAATGTCATTATCCAAAACGAAACGTAGGACATATGATGTTTCTGATAAACTTTTATTTACATGTGATGACTTGAAATTTGTTAGTCGCTTTAATCTTTTTAATCAAGCTAACCCCAATGATAGTAATCTGGGATTTGCAAACATAACTTCCAAACATTTGATTTTCAAATCTCTTCAAAGTTTTACTAAGAAGGAACTTCACATATCGATTTTTTGTACGCCACTCAAATATGAAAAATAATTTTGCGGATAAAATCACGATATGAATCATGTGATTTACTATGTCTCATGACTCAATTTTCTTAATTTTAGATATTTTTATTTCAATGCAATGTAATATATTTTTGTTAAAATTTTAGAATATAGGTCGTTTGCTATTGAAATCATTTACATAGTAATAGAAAACCTCCCAATTTATTCATATTTATCCAACTATAATATAGAAATGACGTGTATTATTAGATTGCTAGGAAAATCAGGTTTGAGAATTTATAACTAAAATTAAGAAAATTAAAAAATTCCCAGAACCTGATTTTCCCATATTCTGATTTTCCCATATTATCATACCTAGTTTATTAATATAATTTAGAAAATTAGGTATCTTATAATTCCTAAATCAACAAGATCTTAAAATATTAAGATATGCCCCCCCGGCCAAAAATTTTAGGACCGCCTGAAAACATAAATTTATGTTTTAAAAAATAGGCGTTACTAAACATGTAATATAAAACTTTATCTCGAATAAAAATGAAAACTTTATGATTATCTACTAATATTTATATAAATGAATTATGTTGGTTTAAAGTATGTCAATTTTACTATATATATCATAAAAAATGAGATCATACAGTAAAATTTTTAGCATTTATTGAGCCATCCGATAATCAAATCATTTAGCGTTGTGTTAAAATTTTTTTCGGGTAGAATTATATCCAATGTGACAATACGAATATTTATTAACACTTTATTGACTTATCAAATTGGTTCTCGTCATTTCTTGGTTTACTTGGTTTTTATATTTCTTTTCCTTCTTTTTACTTTCAACTGATACATTACATATAGTATGGAAAATGCTCACCATCCGATTATAATTAATTACTCCTTAAAAAACGAACCAATCACGTAGCGATTTTTTGATCACAAATTGATAATCACCAAAAAGGTTAACAAAAACGATTATTATCAAATTTTTTTTTAAAAAGAAAAATTTTAATCTGTTTTATTTTTTTTTATTTCAAAAGTACGAATGCGTTTTTAGTTTTTTTTTATCTTTTTTTTTTTACTTTGGGGTTTCGTACACTGCTCACAACAACTATCAAAATTTTTTCGCCCTTTTGATTTATCATTCTTTTTTTCTTTCGAGTTTATTAATTCAGAAGTAATATGCTTGTGCTAACTGTTCTACTTGATTAACTTTTTAAAATAATTAAAAAAAATAAATGGATGAACAAAATGAGTAAGTGATTTATCGAATTTATGGTCTTTTTATTTTCCTTATCGTTATCATTTTTAGCTATCACTCATTTCACATTGAATCAACTTATTATCAAAAATAAATGCATATTGCGTTCGTTATTACTGGTATAGTTCGAAATGGCAAATTGCCAAGATTTCTTCATCCCGATAATGAAAATTTAAACTAATTAAAAAAAAAATAGCGTAAGAAAACGTTTTCAGAGGTATGAAGCTAATCTAAAGCAATTTCTATTAAATTCTTTAGATTCAGCAAAATTTCATTAGATTCGTTTTTGATATAAAAAAATCCAATTAATAATACGTCTAAAAAACAACAATCGTTTTATTAATGTTAAATAAGTCGTTTACCTTTCTTCGTAATCATTATAAACAAATTAAGAAAGCAATATCAACATCCGTTCGTTATCAACAAACAAAAAATGACGGCAAAAATTAATAGGTTTACTCAAAGAATATTACCGAGCATAGGGTTTCCGTTTGAAAATAAGATTCGTTTGCAAATTAATTATTTGATATCAAAATTGGTTTTGATCATTTCGATCATTTATAAATATTATTGTTTTTTTTTTTAAAAAAAAAAATGATTTTCGATATGACTAGTCCTTGGGACTCACCCAAAATAAAGATTCGGGATTCCCGAGTAAAGGTTATAATTTATTTTTAATAAATATTTTGAATAAAACATTATCATATGAAAGAAATGAATTATGTTGGACTAATTTAACTTTTTTCATTTTTTCAACCTCGCTTAATTTGCTTAATTGTTAAAATTATTAAAAGGTCTAGCTTGACCCACTTGTTATACATCAAATCACGCACAACTTGGTTGCTGTATATACGGTATACACGCCGAAAACATTGTCTTTTATATGAATTACTCCTTGCATGAAAATAAGTATCCTCGGCGCTAAAAACACAAAGTTGTATTTTGCATCTGATCATTATCACATCTGATCAAATAAAAAGATTCACATGTATCTGAAACCGATTTTCCATCAAATTCTTGGAATTTCCTTCGGATCAAACTTTTTCTAATCATTTAAGTTGCATTTTGATGTGCTGTCCATTTGAATTTCGAAATGGTGTATCATGATTACGGCTTGAATACGCATAGACTTTTGATAAAAGTTAAATTTGATATCGTCGTCATGAAATAAGTTTGGTGTTTAGTTATCAAGGAACGTAAAAAAAAAAAAAAAAATTGGAAAGTTCGAAATAAAATTTGAGAAAAAAAAAGTTTCGTGTGGCGCAGTTACCTGCGCAGTCAATTACCCCACTAGACATTTTTAGAAAATCGAAATGTTGTAACGAAAAATTTAACTAAAATAATACAAAACCGTGCTAAGGCTGACGCATTATTCTTATACATAAGCCACTTGAGATGAAATATTTGTTCATAAAAACCAATACTTATAATCATTCAACTTCAACGGTAAAGGAACTACTGATTAAGAAGTATAATTTTTAAGGAATCCGACCTTTTTTTCTTATAAAAAGCAAATAATTCAAACTTATTTGATAATTAATATTCACAAACAAAAAAAAAAAGTCCGTCATGAACCGAAAATTTATTTTTGTATTCCTTTTATTGGCTACGCTTTCAATGGTCAATGCAATTCCTCATAAACTTCTTAAAAGAACCAGCTTTAATGCATGTTTCACACCAGGGGCATCGAGCGCACCAGCCTTACTCCAAGTATCAATTTCACCCGATCCTCCCGTCGCTGGAACAAATGATAAAGTTTCTGTTTCCGGAACATTTTCAAAAGATGTCACCGCACAAACCAAACTTGTGGTTGCATTTGCTGATTTCTCTAAACAACCCATAGTACCCCCTTTTGTTACAGATGCTTGTACTGGAAGTGGGTGTCCAATTAAAGCTGGGGACTCGTATTCTCAATCTGTGGATGTTTTAGTACCAAACAACTTACCTAGTAATTATATTATGGGAGTTGGTGTTGGAAATTCAGAAAGCGATATTTTAGGCTGTGCATATGCTATAATTAATGAATTTACAAGCCTCTTTTTTTAAGAAATATATTAAATTTTCTTTTTTTAAAATTTACAGTGAATCTAACTCATTTAGTTGATTATATCAAATTTGTAGCAAATAAATAAGCAGTTTAGTAACGCTCTCTTCTAAACGCCTTCGTGAAATTTACGTGATACCACGGATCATAGTAAAAAGAATCGCTTATCGTTAATATTGCTTCATTCGAATAGTTTTTTTTTTATGTGGTGTTATGTTTGATTGTACTCTTCGCATATAATTTTACGGAAACGAATAAAAACTTACTAGGAACTCCCTTAATTGCCATATAAAAGCACAGTGGAAGCTCCATATATTCTTTTGGTGGTGGTTGCATTTGCTATAATTGGTCGCACTGTTAAATCTCATTAATATCGATATATTATTTTTATTTGGAAAATTATCGAATAATCCAGAAAATTTCGTAATTATATGATCACATGATTTTACCATATTTATATTTTACGCGGACGCGTATTCCAAAAGATTACCTTTTTCCCACGACGGACGACAGACAAGAATATTTTAACCTGCAAAGTTGTTGTCCAAAACGGTATATAGTAAGGTATTTGATTTTTGTTAATTTTATTTTTACTTTTATTTATTCCCTAATTTTTTTTTTCTTTTATTTTCTTATATAAACTAAGTAGCGGCTGGAGTTTGACGTGGAAGTATTTGCAGTTATTATTTTTTTTAAGGTGAGAACTCGCTGTCTTTTGACGGTTTTAATGATACAACTCACAGTCAATATTCGTATCGAGTAGTTGGTCATAGGAGGTATCTTGCCCTATGCTGCTTTAAGGGTTAAGGACAATATCGTCGTAAAATTTAGATACCAATTTTTCATACTTTTTGTATATGCTCATACTATGACTAACTCTTGCCAACACTTTTATCATTTTATTAGATACATACGAATTTTTACTTTTAACCTGCAAAGTTATTGTCCAAAACGGTATATAGTAAGGTATATTTGATTTTTGTTAATTTTATTTTTAATTTTGTATTTTTATTTATTCCCTAATTTTTATTATTTTCCTTTATTGTCTTATATAAGCTAAGTAGCGGTTGGAGTTTGACGTGGAAGTATTTGCAGTAATTATTCTTGAAGATATTATTTTTTTTTTTTTAAGGTGAGAATGCGCTGTCTTTTGACGGTTTTAATGATACAACTCACAGTCAATATTCGTATCGAGTA